GCACCGCCGGGGAGGTGGAGCATGAGCGCATGTGTTAGGACCCGAAAGATGGTGAACTATGCCTGGGCAGGGCGAAGCCAGAGGAAACTCTGGTGGAGGTCCGTAGCGGTCCTGACGTGCAAATGGGTCGTCCGACCTGGGTATAGGGGCGAAAGACTAATCGAACCATCTAGTAGCTGGTTCCCTTAAAAAAAAAAAAATCAATAAAATATATATAAAAAAATAATTAGTGTAAGATGTGATTTTAAGTGGAAACATAATATTTTTATAAATTTTACCTTGTTAGAGTTTTTAAAAAAAAGAAAATCGGAGATATATTTATGTTTAAGTTATTAAATTTATTAATTATGAATTTCATTTAGGAATGTTGGCTTATTAGGGTTAAAGCTTCTCTGAGCAGGTATTTGAAGTGCTTATAAAAATGCAAATTCATTAGATTTATAATTACAGCTTTAAAATCTTTAAAAAAATTTTACTAAGTTTGTTAAAGGACTTTTTAAAAAAAATTAATTTCTTTATTGATTAGGTATCACATATTTGTCCTCAACCCTCATTCCAATCCCCCCCCTCCCCATGCCCTCACCCCCCAATGTCCTTGACCACTGGTTAGGCTAATATGTGTGCACATAAGTCCTTTGGTTGATCTCTCCCTTTTATCCCCACCTTCCCTTTGAGGTCCAACAGTCTGACCCATGGCTCCTTATCTCTGGGTCTGTTCTTGTTCATCAGTCTGTGTTGTACACCATTTCCCCTAGATGAGTGATATCATGTTCTACTGGAAATATACTTATAAGAATCAAAAATAAGACAAGCAAAGGACTTAAAAAAAAAAAAAAGAAATTCTGGTCTGTTCAATTTGAGATTTTCAAACAGTAAAAGAAGGCCTTATTTTGTATGAAAATACTAGACTTGTAAAGACTTAGATACTTAGATGCACTTAAAAGGAACTTTAATGAATACTGAGTCTCTACACTTCTTACTTTATCAACTATTATTCATTTTTAACCGAGGTGCTATATGCATAGACTCATGCTGATTCTCATTCTAACCAAAGGTAAGTGTGTGGTTATAACTGAGACTTTAAAAGCATTTAATGCATATATGATGTGTGGTTTAGTCATTCATTCTGCCCTGGCACTGTGCTGGGTACTAGACACGGCCACAGAAAGGATTAGAATGTGATGGGAGAGAGATTAACTTGGAGGAAGCTTCAGCCAGGAGGCGGCCCTACAAGCAATAGGAGCTTACCCGGCAGAGGGGAGGGGAACGGCATTCTAGGCAGGATGGAACAGCTTGAGCAAAGAAGGCATGCGCTGTTTCTGAAATGGTGACATTTTGTGATCGTGGTGGAAATTTAAAAAAAATAACCTCTCATGAACATCTTACATCATTTTGTGGTGGAGAATGGCAGGATCAGGGTACGTTCTAGCGTGAGTGTACAGAGAGTTACCCATAAGCAAGTCACCTGAGCAAATCACACCCGACTTAGAACACAGTGTAATGTTTACCCCTTTTTCAGACTCAGGCAACAATAGCTGCTGATGTAAATTGAACTCATATCATGTGCCTGGCTCCAAGTACTTTACATGGACTGGTTTACTTGATCCCCACAACCTGTAAGAAATGAGTGGTTATCATCATCTTGGAGTTGAGGGGATTGAGACAGGGGTAAGTGTGGTCTCTGTCTGGCAGGGCCATGATCTGCACCTTGCACAAGCCATTTCCTCTTTCTGGAACGCTCATGCCCTTGTTCTTCCAGGGCCATGTCCTTCTCACCTTCCAGGTCTCAGCCCCTTCTTTATTCCCTTCACAGCACTTACTACAAATTTTAATTCTTTCCTATTTGTCTTTATTGTCTTTCTCACTAGAACCCAAATTCCATTAAGGCAGGGACCATATGGGTCTCGTTTTTCTTCCTATTCCTAGTGCCTGGCAGAGTCTAGCATATAGTAGTTGTTCATTAGACGTTGGTGAGTAAATGGATAGTGACTGGAAAGTTCATTATTCCCTAATCTTTGTACGATACACACAGCACGTAGAAATATCCCAGGCAAGCATAATGCTGTATTATTGACTCAGGTTGGCACCCAGCAGCAAGCTTCTTTTTTCTATGTATTCCTAGAAATTTTACAACAATGAGAAGTTTCTGGAAGAAGGCATATAAGCCTAGCGAGGCAAAAGATAAACACACTCAGTATGATAAAAAGCCAACTTGAATGGATACAAACTAAACAGGGTGTGTTGTTGGAAAAACATTTATTGCAATTCAGTGTCAAAAAGTCTTACAAAAATATGCCACCGTCTGGTACAAACTATAAAAAAAGTCAGTTCATCATGCAAGGAAAGGGTGCAAATAATTTATACAGATGGACTCAGCTCACACGATACTAAATGAACATCTCTGCATGTAATCGATCTAACCTTATCCTTTCAGTTACAATGTTCAGCCCCCTGTACTATTTGTCATTCAAAAAGAAAAGTGTCTAAGCTCAGGACATGGACTTGCATACACCCCCTTGAGCCAGAGGATTGGCACTTGGTAGAATAAAGATGGCGCCAAGAGTTCTCGGGTGTTTACCGCTTGGAGCCTTCTGCGTAACAGACTTGTGTATCGTTAATTAAGCAAACGTTTCTATACTCGAAGACAGAAAGAGTCACGTTCAAACTCCATAAGTAATGTTGTCGCAGATGGAGTTTCAAGAAGTTCAGAGTTTTGGAGCAGCCATCCATTTTTGGCCAAATGGAGCAGGGCCCAAGTTTTGAGAGGTTTTTCAGGAAGTTTTGTTTGCTGAGTTGAGTTCAAGGACACTTGGAAAAATGTCCAGCAGACAAAGACTTGACTATTGCAGTTCCTTGCTCCTTGCTGCCTCATGGAGCAATCCCCCTTGCTAAGTAGAGATGAGGTTTAGCAGAGAGCAAACTTCCACGGGGCCAGAGGCTCCCAGGATGGGCTCCACAGCAGGCACCAGAGGACAGGGAGGTGGAAGGGGGTGGACTAAATGTACCTCTTAGTTTAAGGAGAGAGGAAACGCCTGCTTGGCAATCACCAGAACTTCAGTTTCTAGAAGGCAAGCTGACTTCTCAGCTATGATCTGTCTTAGGGCCACTTTTGTAGTTAAAATATAAGTATTCAAGGACAATGAATTTACCAAAACATGCTGCTTACTCTGTGGCCAGCAGGTTGCAATCATTAGAATGCTGTACTCACAACAGTGAGAGGTCTGTAAAAATTTCAACCAGCTCCTGAATTTCTCCAGGAAGAACCAGGGACTTAAAATGTTTGGCAAAGTAGCGGCCAGATGCCTGACACTGGACCCTCATGCTTGCCTTCCTCAGTGAAGGTCTTGAGAAGACTCATGTTGGTCTCGCGTGTCTCCAGCCACACAGAAAGGTCAAGGCCTCAGGACGTCCCAGGTTCATGGTCAGGTCCACCACTGAGGACCAGGGGGCTGAGGCAAAGGGAGGACCAGACTTCCACATCTCTAACCTCCCTCCCAGCGCTGAAGTCTGGGGGAAGGCCTTCTTTCTCTTGGAAAACCATGGAGGGTTTACTTTCCTTAACAAAACAGAGAAGAAAGCATCTACAGAAACACGAATTTAGAGGGATTACAATCTTGTTAGTTGAAGACATCAAGGGCCCAAGATAAAGCAGAGTCCGGGTCTGCGTTTGCCTAGAGGTCCAGGGTATCTCTGAGGTCTGTTTAAACACTAATAGGATTTTAGGCCAGCATCCAGTCAGAGGGATGGTTCACAGACTCGGAGAGTCGGAAACAGATTAAAAACACACACACAAAACAACAGATGTCGACATAGAAACCGATGATATAGTTTAGTTAGAAAAAAAAATTCACACATAAAATTACAATTTAAGAAAATTCACACGTAAACTAGAGTATTTGCATCGCAAGACATTTTGCCCCACAGCCTGGCAGAAAAATATAAACTCAGGTGCATATTTTATGATGAACTCTGCTTGAACACTAAGGATGATATACTGTTGAACGCGTCTTGAAATGACTGACCTTCTTGTACATCCTATCCCTTGCTCAGACAAATGAAATCCCAAACTCTTTCTCTTCATCCACAAAAACAACGGAACAAGGAGCTGGTGTTGATAGCAAGCTCGTGAAAAAGTTTTTAATCATAAAAGATGACTGCTGTGCTCAGAACCAGTTTGGCTCAGTGGATAGAGCATCGGCCTGAGGACTGAAAGGTCCCAGGTTCAATTCCGGTCAGGGGCGTGTATCTTGGTTGTGGGCACATCCCCAGTAGGGGGTGTGCAAGAGGCAGCTAATTGACGATTCTCTCTCATCGATGTTTCTAACTCTCTATCCCTCTCTCTTCCTCTCTGTAAAAAATCAATAAAATATATTTACAAAAAAAAAAGAAAAAAAAAGATGACAGCTGTGGCAATAATGCAATGCACACTGGTTGCCTTATTTCATCACCGCCAAGCAAAGCCTGTGCTTGTGTTGAGTTTTGCAGTACGAACCCAGCTCATCTCAAGTACCTGCTCCGAGCCACTTCAATATAAAATGACCATCATGAAACTAATGTCACCACACAGCGGACACCGGGAAATTCCTGCCACCTGCCCTCGAGACGGATCCTTCTGCTCAAAGGAACAGCGTTGAGTAAGAACCCAGTCTAGTTTCAGATGTCATTACACTTTTTTTTCTGGATCTTGCTATAAAGTGAACACGCCTAAGCTTCGCATGGTCTCCTCTCCCCAAATGCTGTTCTTTAGTCTCAGAAAGCTTAGGCTCTTGCTCACAGACCTTTGAGTTGGACCAAATGATGCCATCCCTGTGGATGTGCTCACACTACTCTGACCAAAACTCTTTCCTGTCCTGCAAGTCCAAATGACTTCATATTTGCCATCAATGCCAAATGGTACTCCACAGGGTTCGGGTGTACAGCAAAGAGAGTATATTTCCATTGTCATGTCCCTTCTGGCTTTTAGGCCAGCAGTTCTGAGACAGGGATTCCTCGTTTTTGTCTTTTAGGTGGGGTTGTCCTAGGAGGGTTTGCCTAGACATTCTGTAGATGATTAGTGCCCAGGGAACACGAATGTTCTTTTAATCTCACTTTGCTTACATGTGAGGCTCTGACCACGCTTCATGCTGTCAACACATGCTCTGTGACAGCTATGCTCATTCCATTGCCCTCACACAAACCACAGCTTCCAAGAGATGCCATTTCTATTCCTTTCCCTCTCCCTCTGCACCTGCCATTTCCTTTTTATTCTCCTCTTCCACTGAAAGAGAACCACGAATGTCGCGTTCTCCTTTTTTTCCTTAAAAATTTCCTCTTGACTGTCACACACCACCTCCAGTGACGCCAGAGATGGGAGAGCCCAGAGACACTTTCTAGGCAAACATCTCAGAAAACCATTTCCGTGTCACTTGTGGTAGGGGTTGCCTTGCACCCATGCACCTTGCCTTGAGCAAGCATAAGCATTGTGGACAGTCCCCCGGAGGCTGGTTCGCCAGCTTAGTGCTGGGATCCAGAGCAGGTGACATTTCTGGGACTGTAAACCTGAAGTTGCCCAACAGCTGCCACCTCCTCAATCAACATGAAGGGTCAGAGGTCACAAGTAGGGCATGAACACCTAACCCTAAAATTATAGACAGTCAAAGGTTCCAAAGCTCTGACCCTGCATCTTTAAGGAAGCCGAGACATTTGAGAAAAGCTGTCCAAATTATGGAAGCTCTTAAGTTCCTCAGTGTAGACCCTGCATTCTCAGTGTGACCTTGACTCAGCGGAGAAGGGAGAGCAAGCAATACCTCTCGGTTTTACAATGGTTTGTGCCACTCCAGAACTCAATATCGCCCAATAAGATTTTGTTTAATGTTTAATTTTTCTCATTAAGGAGAATTTAAATTCAATTTAATTTTTTCTTCTTGGAGAGTGATCACGAAAAAAGTACTGAGAAACCCTGGTGTGGGCATAAACGTTGCAAAGTGAGGAGCATCAATTAACAACTGGCTTCTCTCCCAAATGCTGGTAACATGTGTTGCATGTTGAGGGAAGGGCATGCGATGGCCCTGCATCACTCGCTGGTCCCGGGCTTGCTTCTGTACATGCCTAGTCATCTTTCCCCGCTCAGGTCACCCCAAGTTCAACTCCTAAGGATTCGCTGATTCTCAGAGTGAATGTGAACCAAGTTCCTATTTTGCTTCACTTATTTTCCAAGCACATGCAGGGTGGCAACTTTATTTACAAAAAAAAATAAAAATAAAATAAAGGCAAAGCAAATACAATGGCAAAAATATGTACATTATTGTAGAAAAGCAAAGTTCTATAAAAAGTAAAAAACAAAAACACTCCCCACCCTATCCCAGGAATATCTGATAACGAACTCATGACATCCTGAGACTTTTCTCCCACGCAGTTACCTACTGGCATTGGCCTAGCAAGACCAAAGCATGTGTAGGTTGAACCCTAAGCATCTCTGTTCCCTATTTGGCTGGAACTCCAGGCTTTTTTTTATCCTCCTGCCAGAAGCCCTCGCTCAGGTCGACCACATTTAGACGTGGGGTGTAACGGAAAGAAAGCTCCTCGGCTCATCACCCTTCAAGAGGAAGGCATTCGCTGACACGTCAATCCTGCTTCACAGGCTTTATCAGCCCTCTGGCTCCAACCAGTCCCCAGAGATACGCTGAGGCTTATCTGAGAAGATGCCCCAGGAAGCAGACATGCCGAGAAATTAAACAGGAATCAGAAAGCCTTCACAGCAGGGAGCGACTGATTCTACCTTTTCTGTGATGGGACATCCTCTGGGCTGGTTTTTCACTGGCCCTCTGTTGCCCTGAACGAGCTATGACACAAAAGGATGAAAGGCCTGCGTGTTCTGAGGTGGTTCTAGGAGAGAGGCAACTCTGAAGACTGCCCCTTCCCCCTCCCTCCCAAGGAGCATTGTGAGGATTGTCTCCAAGACCCCTGCCCATTTCCAATCACTTTTTATCGGATGAGAAAACGAGACGAACAGACACTGCCTACTGGACGGCGCACGGTGTCAGAGAGATCGCGGTATGCTTTCCGAGGTAGACTATTGTGTGATATCTTCATAGATAAGGCCCTAGCAGGTGCCCGTGGGGGGTTACGATGGGTGGGACTTCCGTTGCCTCTTCAGAGCTAACCCAAAATCTAACCCCAAAGCCCGGGGATTTCTCATCTGCAGTTTTTTCTTCTTTCTTTTTTTAAACACATTTTCACATTGTAAACAAAGCGTGTTCTTTCTGCCCTCTTCTTCCGCCATCTCTGAGGAACTCTACCTACAGGAGTTCCCGTGACCATCAAGAGAATTCCACTTTCACCAAAGCCACGGAACTCCTGCCCTTAGAGTCTTGCTGGCAAATGGTTAGGGAAGATAAAGTTTATTTACAGTATTTCTGCTTTCCATACCAATTCTAACGAGGAGTCCATGTTCTTAAGTTCCCAGCCAGGGACTGTCTCTCTCCCCTCCAAAGTCCTCTCCGTGACTCCATCTCAGAAGCTTCGAGCCAATGTTGAACATGTACACTATTTACAAACGAAGGGTCCAGACTCTGTATTCCCAGCACCCACTCAGTGGGGAGCCCTCTGGAAGTGCTGGCAGGGCTGTGATTCAGAACTTGAACAAGTTGATAAAGTCCTGGGGAGAGAGGGACACGGAGCAGCTCTCGGGGTTGTTGGCTGTGCATGGGTGGTCGGTGCCCTGCAAAGGAACAGCAAGGTCGGATTTGAGTTCTCAGAAGCATCTCATTGGCTTGGAGCACCACAAGGCATTGCCCCACTCAAAACAACACCCCTCTGCCGAGAACGCCATAAATTCTGCAAACACTAAAGAAGTGTGTGTGTGTGTGTACATGTGTGTGTGTGTGTTCGCATGTGTGTGAACGCGTGCATGTGCACTTGTGTGCAGAGATAGGAGAATTTGAGGGTGGGTGGGTTGCAGAAAAAAAAAATAAAGGGGAGACACTGCCAGGGACCCCTCTGCATGGGCGGCCCTGCCCACCTTTGTCTCTGATGTATAAATACAGCCATTTCAGAGAATAAAACTGAGGCTTGATAAAAAAAATAAATAAATAAAAATAAAGGGGAGGTTAAGGAAATTATGGTCTTTGAAAATTTTTTCCCCAGGGACAACTGGTTTTATCTTCACCTTCAGCTGGAGGTTGCAATCAGGAAAGGAGTTGGTGTTAATGGCTGGTGTTATTAGCTCTTAGGGGCTGGGCAAGGGGTCTGTGGCTGCCACCTCCGAGGAACATACCTTCCAGGAAAGAATGTGACAGTGTTTGCAAAGCTGTAGGGTGTCTCCGTACTGCTCTTTCCGTGGGTAGCATCGCACGAGTTTAAAATACATCCTCTTCCAATCCAGCTGTCCTTTGTCCGACAGGATCAACCGCTTGCGGATCTAAATATCAAATAAAAGTCATTGCAGGAGAGTTCGGCAAGGAGAGGGCTTGTGGTTTTCTGGTTCTGAAAGTCCTGCTCCCACCCACTTCCCTCCTCTTTCATCTCTATCCTATAAAAGCCAGGGGGAAATAGCCAAGATAGAAAGAAGTAGCTTTGACAAACATTAGCTTTTAATCAGTCTTTAAAGAAAACAGGTGGTTGGTGACATCTTCCTAGTGACCTCCCCTGAACTGCATTTGGCTAGTACTGGCCAGTCGCTCAGTTGGTTAGAGCCAACGTTGTGGGTTCGATCTCTGGTCAGGGCACATAAAAGGAACAACCAATGAGTGCATAAGTAGGCGAAACAATAAATCAATCTCTCTCTCTCTCTCTCAATAAATCAAAACAATTAAAGTTTAGGTGATCTCGATGAACAACGTCAATCTTTTCTTTGCTCTAGCTTGAGTGATCATTTCCAGGGAGATGCAGTGACTGCCTAGCACAGTGGCTCTATTTTATATAGAAATATTACAGGCTTCATGAGCAGAACTAGATGACCTCACACTTCTATAGAAAGAAGTCGGAAAGCAAGACTGAGGCAGCATGAGGCGGGGGAAGAGCCTACAGTTGGCGTCAGGAGGCCCAAACTCAAATCCAAGGCCAGTTTCTTCAACTAGAGAACCCTTCACTAACATCGATGTTTCACAGCCATTTGTGGCCCGAGCCTCCTCACCTGTTTAAAGTGGAGATCACGATACCCACCCTTCCTGGGGTCATTAATCTAAAATGAAATAACACCTATAAAAGTACTTCAGCTGCAATACAGTATATCAGAAAAGTATGTTACTTTGTTCTAGAACATGTGTGTCAAACACAAGGCCCTCGGGCCAAATCCGTCCCGCCAGGCCTTGCAATGTGGCCCGCACCGCGCTGTCATCACTGCACTCCGCTGCGTTTCCATCACAATGACAGTTTATGACTGTTCAGTAAACCATTCGGCCCGCGATTTAGGCTGGATTTTAGATTTTGGCCCCTTCTCTGATTGAGTTCGACACCCCTATTCTAGAAAATAAGGACTGGGGTCAATTTGTGAAAAAAAATTTTTTTTTTTTTTAGGAAGTTATAAAATGTGAATGGTTTTGAAGGTGTGTTTTTGTTCCCCCATCAAAACCACCTAAAAAACACCAAAACCTCACACAATTTAGAAAGTCCTTGGACTGTTGTAAGCCCTGGAGGGTGGGCACCCACACGTCCAGCTTGAGAAGATGCCACGGAAGCTTGAGGGCGGGGACAAAGGAGAGAGGAGAAGGAAAGCGTGTCCGCGGTCGCACCCACCTGCCGCTCAGAGAAGTGGTACAGGCAGAGCCTCTTCCACAGCAGCCGGTCCTCGCTGAGCACGTGCAGGTTGGGGCCCACCAGGCCCAGGCTGACCAGGTCGCGCCCGTCGCTCAGCCTCTGCATGATGTTCAGTTGCAGGCACAGAGGCAGGTCGGTGAACGTGAGGCCTTTGAAGGCAGGCTGCGGGGAGAAGAAGGGGGATGCTAAGTCTCAGGAGGAGAGCAGCAGGTCACCAGGCAACACCCCAAGATGCAGCTGTCCCCTCACCCTCCATCTTCAAGCTGGTTTATTGATCGGACATCAGAGCAGCAATTCTCCCAGCCCTAAGCACAGACACAGTGCCCGTGGCTAAGACCATAAAGAAGATCCTGGACCGGCTAGAGCTGATACAGGTGCCAGGAGATTCTCCTGCTTCACAAAGCCTCAGGCGTGGACTCAAGATTTCCCCAGCAGCACATGTTGGATTCTCCTGCTTGAGTCAGTTCACTCCATTACGAGATTCGCTACCTTCTTTAAGAGCTCACTGTCCTGGACGGAGTACCCCCTGCCCCGCCCCAGCCTCCTGTTTCACTGGCCCCTGGTGACCCCTGACACCCCCGCCTCACCAGCACCCAAACACGCTGCCCACAAGGCCTCCACTCCCTCTGCTCCCCCTCCCTGCCCATCCAAATGGTATATTGATCCGAAAGGCCTTTCTGGCTCTTAGTACTCCCTCTGGCCTTACTCTCTGCATCTCTCCAGAATCCCTAGGATCTCTTTCGGGTCCTTTTGGCTGCAAGCCCCATTTTCGTTTTTTAAATATATTTTATTGATTTTTTACAGAGAGGAAGAGAGAGGGATAGAGAGAAACATCGATGAGTGAGAATCATCCATCAGTTGCCTCTTGCACACCCCCTCCTGGGGATGTGCCCACAACCAAGGTACATGCCCTTGACCGGAATCGAACCCGGGACCCTTCAGTCGGCAGGCCGATGCTCTATCCACTGAGCCAAACCGGTTTCGGCTCCCCTTTGGTTTTATAATGCAATCTTTTACAAAAGGAGGCTGGGGTATGACATTGCCGTTAGGATGGAAGCTCCAAGGAGGCAGGAAGTTTGATCCTTTTTTCTTTGCTGTGCCCCAATGTCTAGAAGAGTGCCTAGTATATAGTTAGGCACTCAAAAAATATTTGTGGAATGAATGACACCTGAATCATTAAATAGGTCAACAACAACAGCAAAACTGGTTGGTGTGTGTGTGTGCGCGCGCGCGCGCGCACGTGTGTGTGCTTGCATGTGTGCACACATGTACTCGCACTGTGCAAATGGCATCCAGAACTCTGGTAGCCTAAATGCTACCACCCACAGAAGCATCTCTACTCAAACCTAGGGCCCCATGGAACATTTTGAAAGCTGTTTGTCTGTGGATAATGCCTTGGTAATTGATCACGACCTTCTCAACTATATCCCTGGACGTTTATTTAAGCCCCTTGTTGCTTATATTGGATGAGCTCGTGGTATTCCACCCAGACCGCCATCCCTGAAGCCAGGGTCTAACTTAGAATTCTTTGCAGACTAGCCCAGCCAGGCAACACCTTTTGAGGGCTTACTGTGGGCTGGCCCTGGAGCTGCTGCAGTGGCTCATTAGGCAGGCGAGAGACCCAGAAACAAGCAAATACTTCTAGGACCATCTGTTAAACGTGACCTAGGAGGCATACGGAAAGTGCTCTGCGAGCCATCGCTACATAGACTGTCCTCAGTATTTGCTGGCAGGTCTTGAGCATCAACTGGATGCTGCCATCTGGATAAGAAGTCAGCACCGATCCCCGGAGACTGCAGTTCTGGATTCCTGGTGGGCTTTCTGAGAGTGCATGACTGAGATTCTTAGCTCAGTGTTCTGTCACCTCTGCGGGTCACAGGAAAGAAGTACAGAAGGAAGACACCCTTCCTTAGCTGAGGGGAGAATATCCTGGGAATGGGTATCTCGTTTCCTTCTCAAATTTCCAGGGAACTGGACTCCATAGGGAGCACATCAAAGCCGACCACACAGGACTCCTGGGGGACATGCAATTAGCAACTCCATCCCGTGTCCCCTGCAAAGCAGGACAGACATGCGGAGGGAAGGTGGCAGTGGTGGGGGATCTGGGAGGATGGCCTACGAAGAAGAAGGGGAACTGACATGGGAGGAACACGGGGAAGTGACATGGGAGGGACACGGGAGGGACATGCAACAGATCGGGGTCCCAGGTACCCTTGGGAAGTCTGGGTCTCAGTCTTCCCGTGTCCATAAGGAATTGGCTTAGAAGGTTCTGAAGATCCCTTCCAGCTCCAACAAGCTGAGCTCTGGAGCCGCTTCAGCCTCCTAACTCATCAGAAGTGCCTATGACTTGGCAATTTTTATGGCTCAGGCTGCGGGGCTGAACTTTCGATTGTTTGTAAAACTCAGGGCTTTGCCGGGCTGCAGAGGGCCGGGAACCTGTTTGCCGTTTATCATCTGCTGCTGATCATGTGAGCCAATAAAACTGCCAGGAGCTTTTCTTTTTGTTCCCAGCACTTCAAAGCATCTACTTTTTTGGTTAAAACTCCCAGGCCGATTATTACATGGACTCCTATTAAAGTCTGCTTGGCAAGAGTTCTCCCTCAAATTTTCAAACCTGAACTTTCCCCAAATTCTTGCCCAGACCCCATGCTGAGCCCTTACTCCTGATACGCGGTTAACTGCTTGTGTGCCTTTTTCTTTCTGAATATAGACATTTAAGAGAGAAATAAGTTACTCTTGCTCCTTTGATCGAGCATTTGGCTAAAATCCTCTCGGTCCACCCTGCCCGCAGACTTCAACACGATGCCTTGCTCACAGTGATTCTATTTAACCTCCCTCCCCCAGCCCAGTTCTTCTCATTTTTCATCCTTTATTGTACTAATTAGTTTGCCAATAGAAATCTGACTCCATAGCGTTAGATATAAAATTTTTATGGAAACAAAGTTAATGATATAACTTTGACAGCTAGAAAGCAATTCATATAAATGTCACCTGTTCATATTTTTGTGTAATGAAGTACTTTTCTTTTGTCCAAACAGTTAAAAAGTAAGCTTTTTAAATATAGTCCAGCCCTAACAGGTTTGGCTCAGTGGATGGAGCATCGGCCTGTGGACTGAAAGGTCCCAGGTTCGATTCCGGTCAAGAGCATGCACCTTGGTTGCGGGCACATCCCCAGTGGGAGGTGTGCAGGAGGCGGCTGATCGATGTTTCTCTCTCATCTATCTCTCACCTTTCCTCTCTGTAAAAAATCAATAAAACATATTTAAAAAAATAATTAAGTACAGTCCAGACTGAAGTAATTAAACTCCTTCTCTCTTTCTCTTCTCTTTCTCCCTCCCTCTCTCTCTATCCATTTGCATGAAAAGCTCCTCAGGACTCTGAGGGTTTCCTGCTCTCAAAATCTTGCAGCTCACAGCCACGGAGGGTCATGAAGGAGGGCCTGAGGGTGGAGAGAGCACTGAATAAAAGCACAGCCTCTGCGGACAGGCCTGGGTTCAGCCCCATGCTCTGTCTTAAAGGTGGTGAGACCCTGGCCAGCTTGTTCCTAACTGCTCAGCCGCATATAAAATGAGGAAACTCGTATCTCAGTGTTGCTGGGAGGAATGGATGAGAAGAAACACAGAAGTCCTTAGCACAGTGCCCAGGAACTATTTGCTATTATGATGACTCCTACTTATAGTTAGTTATTCACCAGATGGGTTAACACACAGGGAGGGGCAAACGTGGGTTTACAGTTGTTCATATAGAAAGTAATACAATGAAGAATAATACAAAAATAAACTCTGTTTCACATACAACTATAAACCTACTTCCGCCCCATCCTGCTATATGTCAAGGACTTAGGAGAGCGTCTGCCACAGAGTGAGCTCTTAATAATAATAGCTGATGCATTTACAATACTTACTGCACAGCAGGCACAGTTCCAAGTGCTTTCCATGTATTAACTTCTTAAAAAAAATTATATATATATATATATATATATATATATATATATATATATATATTATTGATTTTTTACAGAGAGGAAGGGAGAGGGATAGAGAGTCAGAAACATCGATCAGCTGCCTCCTGCACATGCCCTTGATCGGAATCAAACCTGGGACCCTTCAGTCTGCAGGCTGACGCTCTATCCACTAAGCCAAACCGGTTTCGGCTCCATGTATTAACTTCTTAAATCTCACATCAGCGCTATTATTGGATACACTTTATTGCCCTATTTTCCAAATGAGGGAATTGAGACACGAAGTGGCTGAATAACTTGCCCAGAACCCTGCAGTTGGCAAATCATCACCATCATCCATAACACAGGGCATTATTTTCCAATTGTAAACCTCTGACCTTTGACCAGGTCCTTCAGGCATGCGGTGGGAGGAATCTTCCTTCCAATCATTCATTCATTCAACTACATTTATTGGCTGCCTTCCACTCTGCGCCAGGTGGAGGGGGCAGAGCAGGGAACATGATGGCAACGTCCTTTCCTTGTGGAGGTGATGAGACAGTGGATGGAGACCACAGAGTGAATCCCCGGATGAAGGCATATCAGATGGTGATAACTGCTCTGAAGGAAGTGAGATGATAGTGGCTCCCCTGGGTGGCCGGGGAGGTGGCCAGTGAAAAGGCCCAAGGCAGGACCCAGCTCAGAGTGTGCAGAGAACAGCCTGGCCTAGGGGAGCACTATCAGCAGGATGAGATGAACTTCAGTGTTTAATCGGCTCTGTGTGGGATTTCGTTGGACTTAAAAGATTTGCAAAAAGCTGAATCACTGAGTAAATAGTTGGAAGGAAGCTGGATGGAAAGCAAGTTTGGAAAGCACTGATGTTAAGAACGCTTTGCCATTTTAGGAATAAGGAGTCCAGGGTTCTGGCCTGGGCTCTGTCTCTAATTGCTGAGTTACTTGGGGAAAGTCCCTGGACTTCTCTGGTCCTCCCCTGACCCTCCGTGAAGAAATAGTAGCTACAGTGCTACTTCCCGAGAGCATGCGTGGGTCAAGTGAGAGGGGCCCTGGGGAGGTCGGCTCATGGAAGTGCATACGTGGGTGGATGTGGCCAAGGGGATCCTGAGAGGTGGACAGAGGGCACAGAGGCCAGCTGTGGGCAAGAAGGACACCCAATGGGTGCCCCATAGTTGCTGGAGGGAAGATGGCTTAAATGGGACTTGCTCATTTGTATCACTGGTGGGTAATTCTCTTCTGGGCTCAGAAAAAAACACACAAAAACACGGAGTATGAAGTCCAGGCTACGGAGAATGCCAGAGATTAGATAGAAAGTGTAAGTGGGTTTTCCAGAGATAAGCTGGAAACTTGGGTCTCAAATTTACATCGTCAAACTATGCCTACCCTTGAGAGATGGGAATGGAATAAATTATTAAAATAAATCAGATAAACGCTCATAAGAAAGTCTTGTATTCTCTTATAATAGTCAAAGAATTGAGATCGCTTTTGATAGATTCCTTGGGCTTGTGTTCTGCATTGTGTGTGTGTGTGAGAATGTGTGTGCATGTGTGCACATGTATGTGGTTCTAAGGAAGTCACATACTATGAGGTCTCTGTTTCAGAGTTTAAGAAACCAAGGTACACAGAGGTTTATAACAGTATTGCCAAGGGCACTGCACTGGGAAAACTTAAATAGCAAAAGAATCCTTTAAAAGAGGTCAAAGAGGTTTTTCATGGTATTCTCTTGAGAGGTGGGGCAGACCCAAACCTTATCAGCGTGGGTCCAGGAACCACTTAAGGCAGCCGCGGCCAGTGGTTAGATAAGTAAGCCGAGTGCTATGTGAGCTGCCTGAGTGTGCCTGTCCATTAGTGAGCTCAGGAGATGACCCCAGCATCTCCCTCCCAGCTCTTGTGGGCCTTGGTCCTCCTGCTCACCAGCCAGAGGAGGAGAGCCAGGGGCCAAGTTAAAACCTAAAAGAAACTACTTATCATAATTAAGCTGGTAATATAGGACTCTTCTTTCTTTCTTTTTTAAAAATTTTTTTTGGGGGGTTTGAGTTAGAATTGCTCATGTGTTTTCTCACATGTATGTTCATAGTCTTTAACCAAAGGCTTCCTTTGTCATAACCCTTGAGATTCAGAACTAGAATTTTAGCCGAAACCGGTGTGGCTCAGAGCATCGGCCTGCGGACTGAAAGGTCCCAGGTTCGATTCTGGTCAAGGGCATGTACCTTGGTTGCAGGCACATCCCCAGTAGGGGGTGTGCAAGAGGCAGCTGATTGATGACTCTCATCGATGCTTCTAACTCTCTATCCCTCTCTCTTCCTCTCTGTAAAAAATCAATAAAATATTAAAAAAAAAAAAAAGAAAGAACTAGAATTTTAAAAGGTTGGGACCAGTTCTCCAAGCCACGGCCACCACAGCTCTCTTGTAGCCAAGGCAGCATCCCAAAGCTGCAAACAACGCAGGCCTTAGGAAGAAAAGGCCGGAGAGGAGAGACCTCCAAACTGCATTGGCGATTTCAGCGGCAGAGCCAGCGTCTTCCCCGGAGCCGACCTGCCGGGTTTCCCACCGCGTTTCATCGTTCACATGCTCCGATCCTGTCTCGCCAAGTTCTTCTTCCCAGCCTCCCTGTATCAGGAAGCCCCCCTCCAGCACGCAGCAGACAGCCTCCGAGGCAGCGGTGCAGGCTCTCTGCCACCAGAGCGGCGATAAGGAGCCGCCGGCAGCTCTCCCTGCTGGGCGGAGCGGGCGGCCCGCTTACCCTGGTGATCTGAATGTTGTTCAGCTGCTGCTGCCAGTGCAGGATCGTCTCCATCCGGTACACCCACATGTTGATGTTCCCGACCAGCACGCACTTGCCGACCCTCTGCACCAGCGTGCACAAGGACGTGTAGAGGGTCTGGAGCAGTTCCCTGATTAGTCTAATGTTCTGCTGGTCTTCAAGGACTGGGGTGGGGAGGGAAAAAGAAAAAGAAAGAATAGTCAGGGCTACTGGAACACCCTACGTTGTATAAGTGGGCCTTTCTTTTCTTTCTTTCTTCCCTTTTTTTTTTTTTTTTTTTTTTAAGGATTTGCTTCTATTTTTTTTTTTTTTTAAGAGTAAACCTCTAAGACACATGTGTCAAACACAAGGCCCGCGGGCCAAATCCGTCCCGCCAGGCCTTGCAATGTGGCCCGCACCTCGCTGTCATCACTGCACTCCGCTGCTGCGTTTCCATCACAATGACAGTTTATGACTGTTCAGTAAACCATTCGGCCCGCGATTTAGGCTGGATTTTAGATTTTGGCCCCTTCTCTGATTGAGTTCGACACCCCTACTCTAAGACTTTAAATCCGTTTAATGATTTATAGATAAGGGTAGAAAATTGGAATTCAAGGAGTACAAAGACATTAACAACATAGATAGTGGCTATTATAAACAGTGTATGCTCTGTATACTAAAGGAAGTGGGGCGTTTGGAAGGTAATTAAGTCCTGAGGACAAGGGCTCATGAGTGGAATTAGTACCCATACACAGGAGGTTCCAGAGAAAACCCTTGCCCATTTCACCACATGAAGATATACACTTGATCTTAGCCAAAAGGCTGAGCAGCGATCACCGCATGAGCTTATAAGGAACCAGGATTGATTCTTCACCAGACACCTTGATCTTGAACTTCTAAGCCTCTAGAGCAGGGAGAAGTACACTGACAAAAATAAGTGGTATCCTCCCCCGTCCCATACATACCCTCCCTCCCCAGAGTTTTGTGTCCATTGGTTGTACTTATATGCATGTATACAAGTCCTTTGGTTGCTCCCATGCTTCTATTTAAAAAAAAAAATATTTTATTGATTTTTTTACAGAGAGGAAGAGGGATAGAGAGTTAGAAACATCGATGAGAGAGAATCATCGATCAGTTGCGGGATGTGCCCGCAACCAAGGTACATGCCCTTGACCGGAATTGAACCCGGGACCCTTCAGTCCGCAAGCCAAACCTGTTTCGGCGGGTGGGCCTTTCTTCTTCTCTATTATGCTCACGTTACCAGGGCCCGGCCTCCAGGGATATGGCTTTCTTTCTACTTGGCCACTCTTCTGCACTCGAGGTTACAAGGTAGAGTTTCCATTATCTAGGTCCCTCTTTGTTCCCGTCTCCCTAGTTTCCCACAAAGACTCTTTCTTTTGCATTGTCCCGCCGGCACCAGTGGTGCACCTGACCCGAAAGCAGCTGCTTTGGCCTGGCTGTGCCATCCCTGTTAGGCGGTTGTTGGTAGGAGCGTGTGGGCGTTGGAGCACGGGTTCTAATCCCGTATGGGTGATTCTTGGTGTGACACGGATAAATCGCTCTTCCTCACGGGCCTTCGTTTCCCCGGTATGGACAATGACTCAGTTGATCCAAAAACCTAAGATTCCTTTTAGCGCCAAGAGCCCAGGAATCTCTTCTGCCCTGCGCACTACTCAATTTTCCAAGGAGCTGGGCTCCAGAGGCTTGGTATCCAAGGTGGGGACATGGGTTGACCCTGAGAAAACCGAGAGGCTGATGGCAGGGCGGATGCTTTCAGTAAAAGGACAGGAGGGTGCTGAAACCGGCTTAGCTCAGTGGATAGAGCATCAGTCTGTGGACTGAAGGGTCCCAGGTTCGATTCTGGTCAAGGGCATGTACCTTGGTTGTGGGCACATACCCAGTGGGGAGTGTGCAAGAGGCAGCTGTTCGATGTTTCTCTTTCATTGATGTTACTAGCTCTCTATCTCTCTCCCTTCCTCTCTGTAAAAAAATCAATAAAATATATGTTAAAAAAAAAAAAAAAAAAAAGGACAGGAGGGTGATGCTCTTACTCTCTGCCATGGCCACGAGAGGTGTCTTTTTCTCATTTGGGATCTGAGCCGTATCCGGAGTTATTCATGTCCATCCACTCACATTCCCCTGAACCTAACGACAGGTCCGCTCTGCTGGAAAATCCACCCATCCATCCCCAGGCCTATAAAAAGGGGTGAGAGATGCGAGAGAGCTCACCTTTCAGTACCACTTTTTCCAAAATGTTCATGAAGTTCTTCTGGGCAATGCCACTCAGGGACGTGAGCTGTGACTTCGCTATCAGCTCCAACAGCTGTGGGTAAAAATAGAAGTTGCCAGGCTTAGGATACAGAGATAATTTTCTCCTCTAATCTCTGCTTTTGAGTCACATGACATGCAGATACAGACAGACGGGAGAGATAAACGGTGGGCAGGGCCACGGCACAATAAAAAGCAGATGCTCAAAAGGGAAAGACAAATGGGGGGTAATTCAAAACCCGAGAATCAGACTGAATATTCAATTGCTCTTTTTTCTTTTACATATAAAGAGTTTGGCTGCCGCCGGGGATAACTCATTCTGCGTGTCCTACTTCAGCAAGTGGAGCTGCGGTACTCTGAAGGGAACACAACCTCCTTTGACCTGCGAATGTCTGAGCTCCGTCTCATCCCTCCACGCAGGAATTCTCTGCCCGCACTTGAACTTCCCTCCTGGCACTGACTGCTCGCGAGGCACCTACATGCTCGTGTCCACCTTTCCCGGGCACTTTCCACGGAAGTGGCCATTCTTCCCGGGATATCTCCTGCGTATGCAGCATTCAATGAAAATGCCTATTAATTAGGCTCTTTCATTGCACTTAACTTTCTAAAAATATATTTTATTGATTTTTTTTACAGAGAGGAAGAGAAAGGGATAGAGAGTTAGAAACATCGATGAGAGAGAAACATCAACCAGCTGCCTCCTGCACATCCCATGGATGTGCCTGCAACCAATGTACATGCCCTTGACCGAAATTGAACCTGGGACCTTTCAGTCCGCAGACCGACGCTCTACCACTGAGCCAAACCGGTTTCAGCTGCACTTAACTTTTTGTAGAAAGAGCCCAATCACTGGAAGAGAGGGAAATTCGGGGATATAGAGTATCTGTTGCTAAGCAGCTAGGATCTTCGCAGCTCTGGGTTTAGGTTCAAGTCTTGGTTTGACTCCTTATTGTCTCTGTGACTGTGAGAAAATTACTGAATTTCTTGGTGCCTCAGTTTCCTCTCTTCTACTAATACTTACACCCCCCAAGGTCGTTGAGAGCTTTTCAGGAGGGCATGCACATACAGCTCCGAGCAGAGTGGCTGGTATTATTAGGTGGGAAGTAAAGGTGAGCTTGTTCATTGAAGAAGTATGTCGCATTTCCACTAATTAAGAATAGAGATAATAACTTAAATTGGCGCACCCTCAGCACAATCTTCCTTTCCATAGCAAGATTCTTTACAGATGTGGAAAGATTTAAAAAATATATATTGTATGGATTTTTTACAGAGAGGAAGGGAGAGGGATAGAGAGCTAGAAACATCGATGAGAGAGAAACAATGAGAGTTAGAAACATCAGTGAGAGAGAATCAGCTGCCTCTTGCACACCTCCTACTGGGGATATGCCCTCAACCAAGGTACATGCCTCTGACTGGAATCAAACCTAGGACCCTTCAGTCCGCAGGCTGACACTCTATCCACTGAGCCAAACCGGTTAGGGCTGGAAAGATTTTTTTTGAAAATTCCAAGATTTTATTGTTGAAAAGTGAAACTGCAGACTGGAGTGGCCCATTTCACAGATGAGCAAAGGGAGGCTTGAGAAACTAAACCTTACCAATTACTCTACACGCAGTGAGAGGCCCTGACAGAATCCTCGTCACACTTCGTGCTTTCACAGAGTCATCCACAAAAGAGGTCGATGTAGAGTGAAAATAATTTTACCGGAATCCAACAGGCCTCAGGAAAAACTAACCAGCCTTAGTCTTAAAAAGTAAACTAGACCCAGAGAACCAAGGTCTCGGCTTTATTTCAAAGCTGGAATCTCTGCTTCTCGGAGACTTTCCAGGGGAGTCTCATCTCCTGGCTGGGCCCCAGCCGAACTTTCCTTCAGACCAGTAAACACTGGCTGTGACACTGCGCTGGGTGCTGGAGTCGAGGCTGAGGAACTAGCTCAGTGACATCCTAAAAACTGGGCCTCAGAGGAGAACTGAAACGCTTGGATCCGAGCCCCCGAGCGAGTCAAGGAACCTCTGCTTCCAAAGCATTTGTTTAAAAATTCTGTCCCCACGGAGCCCCTTGGGAGCCTGTCAAACCACAGACGGGCTTTTAATTTCCTGAGCATAACTTTAAGTTCAAAAATAAAAACACCCCCAAAACAAAAAGAACCATCCCCCAACGCTTTCCTTCCCTGCCTGGCACCTCTCTCTCTCACACATGCAGGCAGAGACGCCGTCACCTGACTGGGAGAAGGAGCCTGGGAAAAGCAGCGGCTGGCTGGTTAAGATTAGCACTGAGGACCCAAGTCGGAAGTCAGGAGATGGCCAAGGGGCCACTAAGAGAGGCAAGAATTCAAAACGTCATGGGCAGTGGCCACCCCGGATGCCCTCTGCCTGTCTGGCTCAGCTCTGTCACCAACCAGCACGTGACAGGCAGGAGAGGAGTGAAAAATGGCACAGAGAGCCTGGCCAAACCTCCATTTGTCTCCCGGCCCAACAACAAGATTCAGAAGGCCAGGCGATGGTCTATTAATACCCCGGGGGCTCACATGACCCACACAGGGCACGATGAAAGAAAACAAAGCCCTGGGCCGTTCTTGGAAGGGCAGTCGGCTGTGTGACTCACTGGGGTGAGGGGGTGGGAGGTGGGTCAAGGGGGTGGGAGGAGGGCGGGCAGAGCTCGGTCTGGAAGCCATCCCAAACCGAGTCCATGTGACTCCCATCTCATGAGGGTGTCACTTTTAGTTTTGTCTAAAAATGTGCCAATCACAAGGACAAGAATGATCTCAGAGCTATGACTGTGCATCTGAGGGAAAAGAAAAAACCCTTTGGTCTGGCTGATACGATCTCTAAGGAGGAGAAGGAACAGAGCAGCCAAAATCTGTCCATCGACAGCAGAATGACATGTTCTCTACCCTGTGTTCCATCCTTTTTTTTTTTTTTTAATAATATATTTTATTGATTTTTTACAGAGATAAAGGGAGAGAGATAGAGAGCTAGAAGCGTCGATGAGAGAGAAACATCGACCAGCTGCCTCTTGCACACCCCCAAATGGGGATGTGCCTGCAATCAACGTACATGCCCTTGACCGAAATCGAACCTGGGACCTTTCAGCCCGCACACCAACGCTCTGCCACTGAGCCAAACCGGTTTCGGCTGTTCCATCCTATCTTAATGGAAAGTCTTTTTTAGCTCCAAGGCAGCTGTGGGGTCAGGAGGAGACCTAGATTCTCTAGCTGGACGACCTTTCCATCTGTCATCCGTTTAGCAAGTGCTTTTTGAGTGGCAACTCTATCCTGGTGTTGGGTAGGTGACGTGGACATGCGGATACAGACGCATGATCCTTACACTAATGGAGTTTACTGTCGAGTCTATGATTCAAGTCATTTAACCTCTCAGAACCTGTTTCTTCATCTCTAAAATGGAACTAGAAGAACTACTTACATCACAGGGTTGTTATGAGAATTAAATGAGATGAATATGTAAAAAAACAACAACAACGCACTGTATACGAAATATAAGACAGTATTAGTATTATAAGTTATTATTTCTTCCCCTTCCAAACCCCAATCTTTTAGTGAAGTTTAAAGTTGATGTCAGGATTAGCAAACTTTTTCTGTAAAGGGCTGGATAGGAAATATTATAGTCTTTCTAGGCCATATGGTCTTTATTGCAACGACTCAGCTCAGAAGTTGCATAGAAAGCAGCTGTGGGCAATATGTAAATGAGCAGGTGTGGCTGTGTTCCAATAAAACTTCATTTGCAAAAACAGGTGGGGGACCACATTTGGCCCTTGCGGGCTAGTTTGCCAACTTCTGCCGTATATATCATGGAGTCCAAGAGTGAGGGCTGCAGAGCCAAACTGCCTGCCTCAGTTTCCCCATCTGCGAAACATGCAAAATACTATTTCCTATCTCAGAGCAATTGTGAAGATAAAATGTGTTCATAAAGCACTCATAATAGTGCCGGTACCAAGAATATACTCAATAAATTATTATTATAATACAGAGAATATTACTAGGTAAAATTATTGTTGGCTTAAAGACTTTTAGAACTCCTCTATTTCAATTTTATGTATTGTCAACCAATGGCTTAAATGCTTTCAAAATTTTAATATTCCTTTATGTCATTTTTTATTTTGTATGTGATACATTTGATATCTCCCTCTCTGTTACTAAAAGTTAATGTTGATACATTTTATGACTTACATAGGTGCACCTCCCATGAAGTCTTATGTAGCCAATAGTAAAGGATGTTTATTACATGACAGTAACTGTGCTGAGCACTCTACATGTGTGATCTCCTTTAAGCTTCAATGGATGGGTTCTCCATTTGACAACAGAGGCTACGGCAGCTCAGAGAAGTTATGCAGCTCACCTAAGACGTACCAGCAGTAATAAGTGACGGAGCCAGCACTTGAGCACAGATATATATATAACGGAGACATGTATTTTGATAGCTTAAAAACTTCAGTTTCTCAAGGCCAATCAAATTTGCATCTAAACTTTAAAATCAGTAGCAATGCCATGTATGGTTATGTTCTGGGAAACAGAATCTGGGAATTTTATATCAATATGACCTTGTGACAGGTAATCAGCTTTTAACATTAAGGGGGAAATAATACCCAGAAAGTGTTAATAACACCTTTATTAGCCTTGGGTAAATATTTTAGACCCATTTTTCACATGAAAAAATGGGCCCAGAACCAACAAGTAGGTTAGTACTGTGTGAAATTCGTGGTCAAGAGGACAGGATTTATTGATCTCTCTGTCAAGGGAGCTGTGTGCCTAGGAGAGGAGAATTGTATTTGGCCATTGATTTAACAAGTTGGCTTAGCCAATTGGATTCTTTGCCACAAGAGAAAAGGAGAGTGGAGAAGAATGTCTTGTTTGGAAGAGGCTGTTGATTTCTGCTGGGCAGATTTCAGCCCAGGTGCCGGGAATTTGTGGCCGTGTTTAAGGAGAGGCAGGAGGGCGGAGGGGGAGGAGGAGGACGGTTCTCGGCTCCTCCTGAATTCCATGGTGTCACCACCGTGTGGGTTGTGGGGCATGTAGCATGATTTGCAGTGACTAGCTGTGC